ACTATGTTGAATAGTAGTGGTGAGAGTGGGCACCCTTGTCTTGTTCCTGATTTCAGGGGAAATGCTTTCAATTTTTCACCATTGAGGGTGATGCTTGCTGTGGGTTTGTCATATATAGCTTTTATTATGTTGAGGTATGTTCCTTCTATTCCTGCTTTCTGGAGAGTTTTAATCATAAATGGATGTTGAATTTTGTCAAAGGCTTTTTCTGCATCTATTGAGATAATCATATGGTTTTTATCTTTCAATTTGTTAATGTGGTGTATTACATTGATTGATTTGCAGATATTAAAGAATCCTTGCATTCTAGGCCAAGGGTCTTAAAGAAAAATTGTTTCACTGCATATTGAGTAGTATAGAAGGCAGGCATTCTAGCTAACTATTTCTGTTTTATATCTATGGCCACAATATAAAACATCAACTCGGCTACATTAGTTTTGTATATCAGTCTAGGAAAACAAATAGTTATAGGGGTGGGGTGGGGAGGGAGATGGGAGGGAGGTTCAAAAGGGAGGAGATATATGTATACTTATGGCTGATTCATGTTGAGGTTTGACAGAAAACAGGAAAATTCTGTAAAGCAATTACCCTTCAACAAAAAATAAATTAATTAAAATGAAACTATAAAAGTCAAAAAATAAATTAATTTTAAAAGAATAATTATTTCTGCAAAGAAACATTACTGTGAATGATATGTCTGTATACTTGGCCATCGCTGAAGCTGAGGCAGATATGTCCAGTTTTTTGTTTTCTGTTTCAGAGCTACCTTAATTCTTTCTGGTTTATCTTCACATTTTTACACTAAGGGTAATTTATTAAGCCTCATCTGAAAGGTCAAGTAACTCATGTTTACAAGAAGTTAGACACAGTTCCAAGAGGAGGTAGATCCTTTAAATTTCAAACACGTAAATGGTATTAAATGTAGATGAACTAGAACTAGATGATTTCTTGTGTGAATTTCTCAACACAATAAAAACACCCATAAGAAAAGGAATATTTTCTTTTTCGTAGTTTGTTTCCTAAATATACATTTTCATATGCTAATTATAAGACAAATTGAATCTTTTAATGGCCACATTAAATTTTCTCTATAAATGTTTTGAAAACAAATTTTTATGGTAAAATACGTAAGCCGTCTCAGAAAGCACTTATAGAAGAATCATTTTTCAAAATCTTAGCTGTTGCTAAAGCAATGATTGTGTTCACATTTAACTTCATCTACTCAAGGTTTCACTGAGGTAAAAAAAGAATGTCTTTGGAGCTTTTCTTTAAAGATGAGAATTTGGGAAGAAAAGCATTATTTTAGAAAGCATGCTACAGGTTGTGGGAAGGAAGGGAAAGAACAGAAAGATGGGAGAGAGGGTAGTATACATCCACCTATCTGGTCTCTCTTCTGTTGTGGATCTGAGGGTGAGAGGAGGCAGAGGGGACCTTGTGACTAATATGGAGGTTTAAGGCCTTTACTTTAAATAGCTTTACATTCCTCAAAGTTAAGAGTGGGCCTTGTGCCTATGACATGTAAATCTGGAAAAGTGGCTTATATGCAATTTGGCACCAAGCTAGCCTAGGACTGTGAAATTTATCTGGTTCTATGATAAGAACTCAGAATAAATTATAAATGTGTCTTATTGAGACCTGAAGGGAGGTGAAAGTTATAATTTGTAACAATTTTCAAACCATTGATTATATTACAAATGATAATTTATTAGTTTTTTTTTTTGTTTGCTCTGTAAGATTGCCTATTCAGTATTTGCATTTTGGTAGTTTTAATAAAATTAGTTTTATTTGCTATAATGAATTTAAAATTTTAAAGTGTAATAGTCTCTTAACTGCACATATCTGAAGACTAGCTTTTCAGTGGCCACAGTATACAAGACACCACCGACTGCTAGTGGCAGCCTGAGCGAATTTTCCAAGTGATAACCAGTCTTCCAGACGTTATAAGTATCATCATCATGTTACTTAGGGGTCTGAGAAGTAGAAGGAAGGAATTATGCATTCAATATCATAAAATATTGAAGTGTTACAAACTCTCTACATTCTGTTTCAATGGTAGGATGAGGGCTTTTGCTTGTTTTTTTTTTTTTTCCCCTGAATTTTACCCCATTTTTCCATTAATACAGTGTTTGAAAGGGAAAACCAGGGTCTTCACTAACTGCAGATTTTTTTATCCACAGCATCTGCAGGAATTGCTGTATCACAGAGGAAAGTTCGTCAGATCAGTGATCCTATTCAGCAGATCCTAATCCAGCTGCACAAAGTCATCTACGTCACTCAGGTCAGTGTGCCAGCTTTTTATTTCCTTTTCATCCTAAGTACAAGTTTGGTGCTAATATTGCCAAAGAACTCTGAGACACCCATAGCATCCACTCCTGTGCATGTTCTCTGGACTGCTGCTAATATGGAATAACAAAATCTTGCAGTTTTTTAAAATATATAAGCTATTTCCTCTTTGGTAATGATGTGTACCAGTTCCCCTGGATCATATTGAGATATGATGCTTGTTATTGACTTAAAGCTCACTATTGTGGGTCTTAAGAGGAATGAGTATCTCTTTTAAAGATATTAGCCCTCATTTGTCCTAGGTGAGGTTAGTATAGAGTTTTGAAGCAAAAGAAGTTTTGTCTTCTCAGATGCAGGGTTTAAAGCTACTTCCACTGGCAATGATAGCTCAGAATGAGTTGTGTTTCAAGACAGTCAGTTTTATCTGGTTCCAACAACATGTCCCTACTTGGAGTTTTCGTATTCTAATCTTTTTTTCTAACTTTTGCATGAGAAATTTGGTGAAATGAGCATTCAGCTGACACTGTAGCTCAGCAGTCTACTCAATTAGATTCCTGTTTGATTATTAGCTATACCAGTGCTGTGGTAGCAAGAAGTACATTCTATCAGGGCTGTCATGGAATCTTTCTGGCTCTTAAACTATGATTTGAGCTGAGAGTTAAAGGACCCAAGCTTGTCATTGTCTCTGTAAGTGCTCCAGTACATCTGAAGGACCCACTTACCCCACCATCCTTGTGGTCTTCATACTGTCTGATTGTCAAATGTAGCAGTCACTCAAGCTTCCAGGGGTCTCCCTTCAGCTGGCTCTTCATCCAGATGACAGTGATGAACTGCAGCAGCACTGCATGCCATGGATCACTAGCATCTTGTGTCCTCTTGGCAAACAACCTAGCAGTGGGCTTACTTCCAAGGGTACAATCAAGCCAGTTTTCAAATACCATCTGTGTGGCTCCTCCTGGACAATCTTGGAACCAAATCTGTTTCATTAAGAGTCTATTCAGGGAACAGAAACCGCAATGATTTCAACAGAGATGGTTTCATTTAAATCCTTATATAAGAATTACTCATAATAACAGGGTATCATCTACTGAGGAGGGGAAGAGAAATTTAAAGACTATAAGAGCAGATAGGGAAGTCACTATTTATAAAGCTAAAGAAGAGCACCCAAGAAAGGAAAAAAAAAAAATGAAAAGAGGACACCCTATCCTGGGATGAGGCTCAGATCTCACTGGAAAAGCCAGAGAAATGTTTTGAGATTCTGTGCTTTGGACCTGCTGGAAAGCAGCATGTAAGGATAATGTGCTGGGAACTGCCCTCCGTGGGACAGGTGAGGTGACAGAGGTAGGTGCTGCTCTATGGAACTCTTCAGAAATCTGGTTGCAGGGTTGGTACCACTGAATCTGGCTGAGGGTTAGCACCACTTGAGGTTCCCTTCCCTGCTGACCATTGAGTGCTGCTGAACTAAAGCAAGGCAGGATCATCACTGGAACCAGAAAGACAGGCTGCATCCTCTCACAGTGCCCTCTGCTGATAGAGCTGAAATCCAGCCAACTGACAAAGGACGTATGTTTCAGTATCACACACAGGGCAGTGAAGGTGGGTTTGAGGCTGAGAGTAAACGAACCGACAACTGGCACAGTTAGCCGGGGGGCTGGGTGAGGGACTCCCTTATTGGGAACCTGCCAACTTCCAGCTTCTCACTGTTCCTCCTTTGACTTCTGCCCGTCCCAGAGAGTAGCCTGGCTCTTATCTATCATGTTTGAATTTTTTTTATGGGTTTTTTTTGTTTGTTCATTTTTAAACTAAATCTGGTATTCTTTCCAGTTACCCCGAGGGCCAGCCTTTTGAGACTGAAGAGTCTAAAGTTGATTACCCTTTTCTCTATTTTCTGCTGTCAACCTTTCCCTTATGCAACCCCACAAAACTGTCTACCTGATTGAATGAAAGTAGGTGAAGGGGCACAAGGACATATGATGGGGAAAGAAAATTGGTTAATAAATCAAAATATAGTCTGCCCTATCACTATTGAGTAAAGATGTTATGTTAAAAAACACATTTCCATTTAAATACTGATATAAATTTGTGGGGAAATATTTTTAATTGTAGTGTTATGGAAATAACTTCAAATAGCTAATTGGTTACCTTAACAATTCACTACCAAATTAAGAGAAAATATCCTTTGAAATTTAAATTTCAAAATTAAATTTCCATATGCCTGTCTTGATCATTTTTATATATAAATAATAAAAAACCTTTTAAATGGATATATTTTATCTCTTAACTGGATTTCAAAGTATTTTAAAGCAAGAATGAAACAATTATTAACACCTAATTATTATGCTGTTACACTGCCAGCATAACAAATTATTTCATGTTTTTGGCAAAATGGCATTCTGTACTGTAAGTTCAGATATAACCATGGTGATTGTAAAAATGTATTTCCAGAATACTTTAAGGTTTATGAATTTGCACATAGTAAGGAATGATTCCTCTTTGGGAAACTAAATTACAGTGCTCACCAAACTTAATGCCTTTCAAATAAAGAAGATAAATACAGGGCTAAACATTACATTCATATTTTCACCAAAGGTTGAAGACCAGGATCAGTTTTTCCTCTCTGGTAATTGCAAAGAAAAACTTCTGGAAGTAAAACTGAATTGGCAAAGCAAACAAAAACACCCTCCTTGTTCCTGTATTTATGTACTAGGCTCTCAAACTCTCACAGACTTATGCTGTGATAGCACCCTGAATTGCAGAGCCAGGTCCCTTCTGACAACCAACAAGTGACTTTAAATGGGAAACTGCTTACTTTTGGCTGGTGGTGACCTTTCCTACCCAATTTCCATGGAGACAAATTACTGTGGGAACAATCTAAAAGCAGCTATTTTAAGAGACACAATGTTAGAATCCTTACCCTGCCTCCAGTGATTTTTCATCTGTTTTCATCAAAAATGAGATAGTAATCTTAAGACCAGTGAGCAGAGAATAAATTAGTGGTTCACTTCCATTGCTGGAAACCAAAATTGTTCTTTGAGCAATTAAGGTGACTGAAATACATATGTTAGCAGGAGTCTTCATGTGTTACTGCTTAGGTAGAAATTTTGCGGCCAATGTAAGATTTGGATTTAACTCTACAGTTAAAATTTGATTGTTGTGTTAAATAAATGCTTTGAAAATCAGCATATTGCAACTTTTAAAAAAATGGAACTTCTGTCTCCTAGAGAGTAGACTGTTAATTTGCTTGGAACTCCTTTAGATTGTCATCTTAGCAACAATACTTGTTACCAGAAGAACACAGAGATGTGGTCAGGAATAGCAATGAGCTGTCCTCAGATGAAAAGTGCAGGACTAACTGTCATCAGGGAAACATACTGTTTTCTCCAGCAGTGGTGATGGATGAAGTTAGATCCATCTGTACCCTCTCATCTGGATCTTCTGGTTCCTAGGGGCAAGGATGACAGATTAAATAGAATTTAGGGCAAATCCGTGTTTCTCAAGTGGACTCAGGTTTTCAGGGTTTGTAAACTCTTAAGGCAAATAGATGGGAAAAAATGGAAACCATGACAGGCTTTATTTTGGGTCCAAAATCACTGTGTACGAGACTGCAGCCATGAAATTACAAGATGTTTGCTCCCTGGAAGAACAGCTATGACAAATCTAGACAGTGTATTAAAAAGCAGAGCCATAGTTTGCCAACAAAAGCCAACACAGTTAAAGCTATGGTTTTTCCAGTAGTCATGTACAGATGTGAGAGTTGGACCATAAAGAAGTCTGAGTGCCGAAGAATTGACGCTTTCAAACTGTAGTGCCAGAGAAGACTCTTGAAAGTCCCTTGGGCATCAAGGAGATCAAACCAGTCAATCCAAAAGGAAATCAACCCTGAATATTCATTGGAAGGACTGATGCTGAAGCTGAAACTCCTGCCTAATGCAAAGAGCCAGCTCATTGGAAAAGACCCAGATGTGGGGAAAGATTGAGGGCAAGAGGAGAAGGGGGCAACAGAAGATAAGACGGTTGGATGGCATCATCGACTCAATGGACATGAGTTTGAGCAAGTTCTGGGAGATACTGAAAGATAAGGAAGCCCAGATAGTGCTTCAGTCCATGGGGTCACAAAGAGTCAGATGTGACTGAGTGACTGAACAACAACAATTTTACATTCTGTGTATTTATTTTGATGATATGTTGAACAGTTTAGCATTTAGTGAAACCTCCTTTTAAACGGTAATATGTCAAATAACATTTTTTTCAATAGAAAAGATATTATTTGAGTCACTATCAAAGCAGATCTTGTGGGCTACTGAAAGGTTGTTGTTGAGCCATGAAAGATGCCAGGATTCTTGGCCTCCAGAGGAGAGGAATTCAATCCAGGGCCAGTGACGAGGCTTGATCGTGCAGAGCTTTTGTGTTTTATCAAAGTATAAAAGAGATGGAGAAAACTTCTGACATAGATATCAGAAGGGGGCAGAAACAGTGCCCTCCTGCTAGTCTTTAGCCAGATGTTTTATGTCTGTTAAAACGCTGTTAATTAGATAAGAGAGACATCTCGAGGCTGAGGGAGTTTCACCAGGCCCCTCTCCCACAATATGCATTTTTGAGATAGGATGGCATGAGGTGTGTCATCCCTCAGCCATGAAACAATTGATATGAATACTTTTTGTTGAGCTATTATCAGCCCAAGGTTTGAAAAAAAAAATTAGTCTTAGGTGGAACCATTTTGAAGAAAGGCAAATTCCAAAGTAAATACATAGCTTAAGAAAAACATTTCCATAAGAAAAATGCATTGGTTAGCTCAAGATTTGAGGAAAGTTAAGTTCACGTGGAACCAGGTGTCGTCCTGGAAAAATGGAATTTTGAGAGAAAAAAATCTTATACTTGCAGCCTATTTCCTCCATTTGGAGACCCCTGGCCTTCCTGCCTGTTACCCTCTCATTTCCTCCTTTTCTTTTAGGAGAATTATGTTGCCTAGGGAAAGGGGCATCGTGTTCATTCCATAACTACTTCCTACTGTTGAGGGGTGTCATCCCTAAATTGTAGAGGTAACATATTCTCCTAACCCTCATATTGAGGGTCTCTGATCCAGGGGCCCCAAGTAGTAGTTGGAGGAAGCTGCCACAGTCGCAGGAGTTTGAGCAACCATTTGTAACTTAAAAGCCTTCAAATGACTAGAAACAAATCCAGCTACACAGTTATAGACGCAGGGAGCAGACAGCAAAAACAGAACAATCAGAATTATTGCAATTATGATAGTTTTCCACCATGAGGAACTAGTTAATGTCTCCCAAAGTGAGAC